AGAATGTTTGGAACAATGTACATCTTAAAGATAGAAAGAAAAATGGATGCATTATTATATTGTTCCACTTTCTAATTATATTTTGTATGTGTACTGTGGCTTTGCTGGAGGGACAGTAGTGTACAGGTGTTTTCCAAACATTAAGTAAGCCTTGCACTTTCTCTTCAGGATAGGCAACAATTTATTATGCCTATTTTCCATGATGGGGGGCTAGGAATTAAAGTATAGAAAGATTGACTTGGTCACAAAGGAACTCCATGACAGTGTTAGGAAGAACTTTGGTGTCTGTGTCATGAACTGCAATAACTTATTTCCTGCCAATGAATTCTCTAAAGTAATTGTCATGGTTGTCTGAAGTTGTCTCAAACATATTTCAGAAGAGTATCATTCCATCTATGAATAAGTGCTACAAGAAGAATTAATTTTCACTCATGCTTCTATGCCAGTCCATCAAAGTTGGTGGTAAATTATTCATTTTTTGTCTCTGTGTGGCCAACCTCTGGTGTTCCTATAGCATCCTGCTGAGGGGAAATCAGGTATTCTGTGTTGAATCTGTCTGTACTCAGTGGCAGTTGCAGATTTCAGAAGATCTGGTGAGCGTTAGAGTAAAGAGACGTAGGAGTCTGTTATACCAGAACAAAACATAGCTCCATCTAGTCCTATATCCTGACCACAACAGTGGGCCATAACTGGTGCTTCAAAGGGAGATGGAAACTGGTGCTGAGTGTTCTGCTGAATGACCATGTGGGTGGTGAGTTCTTGAAAGCATATTATTTTCCACACCAGTTCACTTAACATGAATGAAAGTGGTGACGTGAACCCTTTGGCTCATCCACGCGTGCCAACAGTGGGTTAGACAGTGAGGTTTGTTTAATGGGAACATGGGCCGCTGAACTGAAAGACTGCACCTTTCCCAGAACGCGTGCCCTTCCCTGCAAACCATTACACTACACAAACCTCCTCACACAATTCAAACCAGATCTGAACCTTATTGGGAGCTTCATTTAAAAAACATCCACCCACTCCCAAACTTTTCTAAAAATTACTGATAACTGTCACATTCCTTACTCATCCTTGTTCCGGTTGGTAATGGTAAGGTCATTGTTTTGATTAGAAGTGGGAACCATGGGACATCTGGTCGGAGCAAGGGAAATATGATTATGAAATTTCCATGCCAGTCCTGCGAACTTGGAGGTAGCATCTGAATTCCTAGGTGTTTTTCCTGTCTGCGCTTGCCAGGCATTCACTAGTGAGATGATGGTGCTCAGCTCTATGCAAAGCTTTGCAGGTCACCATTTGGGGTTTCTCCGTGCTTGTTCCTGTGCGGGGAGAGGCATTTGTAGGCATGGTTGGTTGCTGACTTTCCACTGGTGGTGAAACACCAGCACTGCTTACTTTCCTTTTCATTTCTTAGCTTATTCTGCCTCATTGAGTCTATGTTAATGTTGCATTTGATATTTCCAGCACTCTTTGGACCTCACACATTTTACAGTTCTTTGGGCAAGGCACTTCTCCTGCCTCCCTCCCCCCCCCCCCGGGTCTTATTTGATGCTATTTAGAAGACATTGTCAAGCCTCCCATCCGTTTGTTTCATTCAAACTGGGGTTGCACTTTTACCTCTGGCTGCCTATTGGAAACAGTGTCCAGCTGTGGTAATTTAGTCACTTTCCATACTCATTTTTTTAAATGTTAATTGAATTACGAGATGCAGGTTACCTGGGCAAAGAAAATGACTATAAGGCATGCTTCACAGGGTTTGTTAAACCCAATTAAACTAACATAATAAACACTTCACAGTTATTACAAACATAAATGGCAATTGGGCCTTTTTCACCCTCGAGGAAAAGGTTGTTGGGGGATAAAAAGATGGGTCTTCCCCACTGTAGCTCTCTAGTTCACCTTCCCTGGCTACTTGCAATATGCTTTTCAGATTCATTTCACAGAACTCAGAGCTCTCCAATCCACAGAGCTTAGGGCCAAAAGGGACCACCAGATTCTCTCGTGTGATCCCCTGTATATCACAGACCACCAGCGCCACTCAGCACCTGCACGTTAAACCCAGCAACTGAAATTAGACCAACGTGTTACAGCCTCAGGGATCCCAGTCCCAGAGCATGTGTCTGGCCTGGCTCAGCTCTGTCCCAGCAAGCCTCTGAGCCGGTCAGTACGAGATGCGTGGCATGGTTGCTTTTTGGACCAAGTGTTTGCATAGTACTGGAGACTTTGAGAAAGAGGTGACTTTTCCATGGCTTAGTGAGATCCAGGGGGACGATGCTGCTTTAATGGGTTGGTGATGTCGGAGCAGAGCTGTGAATATGCATGACATGCAGGTGGCCTTAGTGTGAGCTTGTCTGCTTTGCGCTGCCAAGAGGTAAATACATGTCCTAGAAGGAGCGCTTTGTATCTGGAGAGAGGAGCTGGGTTGGGAATAGAGGAAGAAAATGCATCAGGGGCTTATTCAGTCAGCCTGGGTAATTTTGGGACCTGGTTTCTACCTGTCTATTGATGTAGTGTTGGGGTTTGTTTTGTTTTGCTCTGTGATGCAACGTGCTGTCGGATCAGAAAACAAGCTTGGATACATGGCTGAAATAATTTCCCATATGCGGCTGGTGCTGGGGTCTCAAAGGTGATTGATATGCCAACTTATCTAGCTTCCCTGGTGCCTAGTTTCGAGGCTGTGCAGCCAGCCTTAAAGTCTGCTATCTCAGTAATTGGCCTATGAAGCTAAATAGCAAAACACAAGAGCAGAGCTCTCCGTGCCCTGTTTGTCCTTTCTTTGTTCAGGCTTGTTTTTTATGCTGCATACAATTGTGGCTGTTCATGGAAGCGAAGTTAACACAGTATGTGTCGATCAGCTAGTAAAGATTTGCGAAGCTCTCCCTTTCTTCTCACGGTGGTACTGTGTATTAATTGTATTACAAAAAGAAAAGGAGTACTTGTGGCACCTTAGAGACTAACAAATTTATTTGAGCATAAGCTTTCGTGAGCTACAGCTCACTTCATCAGATGCATTCAGTGGCCCTTTTGTGGTAGGCGTGGTGCAAACACACAGTACGAAACAGGCCCTGCCCCAAAAGCACATACAATCTGAAAAGAAAAGATGGACACTCAGTGGGATGGGATACCAAGGCCTGGGGTGAAGGGACTTTCCAAGGTCACACTGCAAGGTCAGTAGCAGAGCTAGGAATAGTAGCGTTCCAGCCCTGTGCCCATATCCACTAGACAGTGCTGCCTCTCGCACGAGCGATTTGTCTTTGGAAGGTATCCAAATGAAATCCATTTTTCTGCATTTTGCCAAGGACACCATAAGAAGCCTGTGAGCCTTCCCTGCTACTGTTTCTAAAAATCCTGCCATTCACAGATCTGAAAATGTTGGCCAGCTGGGACTATGTCTGCTGGCCCTCTTATTTGTCGGCCATTGACAACAAAATAAATGCTCCTAAGAATTTCAAAGTAGCCTGAGAGATTTAATTGCTCAGTTCCCATTGAAATGAAGGGGAATGGAGTGTCCAAATCCTGTAGGCATCTTTGAAAATCCTGCCTTCTACTTACGCATTCTGTATGGCTCTAGAGAACATGCTTGTATGCCTGTTGCTGTATCCTCTTCTCTTCATTTGCTTCACTCACATGTTACATCTTGTCTTAAATGAATACTGTAAGCTCTGTGGGGTAGGGCCTGTCTTTTACTTCATGTCTGTGTGGCGCCTCGCACAGTAGGGCACTTGCTTCTTTTGGGGCATCTGGGTTCCGTTGTGATGCAAATAATCTGAATCCCACATACAAACACAACTCAGCTTTGGGTCCAGGTCTGAATGTTGCAGGTGCCCCTTTTATGCCTCTGACTGCTTGAACTGAAATCCTCAATCTGAGCATTCCAGGTCTGCGGAGAAGTTCAGAACTCAGTTGCTGAATCTTTTCTAGTCTGCTGAACTATTAAAGGATTCTGAAAATGAATGAATAAAAAAAAACCTATTAATTGAAAAACATCACCATGAATTAAAAAACACTATTAAAGAATTTTTTAAAATGTAAAATCAGCAGACGAGAGGTAAATAAAAAGGAATAAATAGGAGAGTTCTGTGTCTGTCTTAGGTACTTATATGGCATCCATTACTGTAGTATCCGAGTGCCTCACAATCTTTAATGTATTTATCCTCACACCAACCCTATGAGGTAGGAGAGTGGTTTTCGGCCTGTGGTCTGTGGACCCCTGGGGTCTGCAGACTATGTCTAAGATTTCCAAAGAGGTCCACATCTCTGTGCAAAATATTTTTAGGGGTCTGCAAATGAAAAAAGGTTGAAAACCACTGAGGTAGGGACATGCAATTACCCCCATTTTACAGGTGATAATAATACCTGGTTCTTATGTAGCCCTTTTCATCAGTAGATCTCAGAGCACTTTACAAAGGAGGTCACTCTCATTATATCCCCATTTTACAGATTGAGAAATGGGGCACAAGCAAGTGAAGTAACTTGGCCAGGTCACCCATTAGGCCAATGGCAGAGCTGGGAGTAGAATCCAGGTCTCCTGAGTCCCACTCTAGTGCTTTATCCACTAGGCTACACTGAGGTAGGAAAAAAAGCTAACTCACCTGCCCAGGAACACACAGGAAGTCTGCGATAGAACAGAGAGTTGGACCCAGATCTCCTAGTTTCTGGACTAGTATCCAAACCACTGGATCATCCTTCCCCTCTAGTTAGGGGTAGTTATGTATAGAAAGAACTCTAGATGGCTGCAGAAAAACAAGGGAAAGAGAAATTACCTGGAAGAGATCAGAGAGAGAACCCAGTAATATTATAGGGAATTGATGCCACCTTTTATGTTGTCGCATCAGTGCTGCATCCCACCAATGCTCTAGCATATGTCTTAGGCTCGTAATAAACTTTCTCCACATCATTCCACATGGATTCAGAAATGGAAATGGATCTGGTGGTCACATAGTGACCTAGGTTTCTCTGGCGCTGAAATTTATGTCTGTTTTCTCTCCATCTCTTTTCAGAGCTCCCTTCATCAGAACACTTGAGTGTGGCAGATGCTACGTGGCTGGCTCTCAATGTGGTTTCAGGCAGAGGCAGCTTCTCCAGCTCCCAGCCCATCGGGGTGACCAAGATTGCCAAGTCAGTAATAGCGCCGCTGGCTGACCAAAACATTTCTGTATTCATGCTGTCCACCTATCAGACGGACTTCATCCTGGTAAGACCAAATAAGATGGCCAGGGCTGCTTGTGATTCCGTGTTCCCTAGCAGAATTTGCTGGAGTGGGGGCAGAGGAGAGGTTCCAACTACACCATTTTAAAAAAGAAAAAGGCAGGGGGGTGGGTAGCAAGCATTAAATACTTGAAGTAATGCTGCACTGGGGGTTCACCACTTTATTGCTGGCAACGTCCTTGGACACTTACAACCTGATGTGAATGCCACTGAAGTCGATAGGAATCTTTCTGCTGATTCCAGAATCAGGCCCACCGATAGTTGGACTGAGGCCACCAAATTCATTAACCCAACACCCGCTGGATTGCGACAACCTCCAGGCCTTGTTGTTCCAAGCGTGTGTTGTGTATATGTTTTCCCTATGGCTCAGCAATGCATAAGGACACCTGTGATCTGATCCATTGTCCAATTCAGACAGTGGGGAAGTGGGTGCATCGTCACACGCCTATCTCTGTCACTGTCCTCAGATACGTGAGCGGGACCTGCCCTTCGTGATGCATACGCTGGCTGCTGAGTTCACCATCCTCAGGGTCGTGAATGGGGAGACGGTGGCTGCTGACGACTTCGGGATAACGAATGGGTTTGTCAAGCCAAAATTGGGTAAGGACCTGCATGGGCCCTGCTGATCGGTGCTTTTGCAGAGGAGTCAACATTTAACCTACATTAAATATTCCGTGTGCTTCATATACTAAATAGATTGGATATGAATTAGCAGATTCTCACCCTAAGAGATTATTCAAGCAGGCTGCAGATTCTGAAGGGATAAGCTACACTTGCTTTACAGCTTGAAATCCCCTGGTCTTTCATACAGTCTAGAAATCCCTTTAGCCTGCGTCCAGCACTTCCCCCAGTTCAGTCTTTGTTCCTCAGATGTTTCGAGGAGTCTTCTTGTGTGGGGAATGAAGAACAACAGATGATGTCACTCCCTGCCTTATATAGCTTTAGCATATGGCAGGAACCCCTTGTTTTAAAACTTGGTTCCCAGACCGGTTTGTGGAAAAATACTGACATCCCAAGATGGAGTCCAGAGACATGTGGCCTGGTCATAGGACCTTGCATACCTCGCTGAGTCATAGCAGCCATTACTAACTGGCTGTCTAGAACTTCCTGGGAAAGTTAGGTTCTTCCAGGGTCATTGTCAGTTCTGATGGGCCATCAGCACTATCTGGCTTCTTCATGGTTGTACTAGAAGGGGTAATTGTGGGTGTCCCCCGGAGTAAGCATGATTGAAATACAGATACATCATCAATATTCCTAACTTTAGATACAAAAATGATACATGCATACAAATAGGATAATCATATTCAGCAAATCATAACTTTTCCAATGACCCCTCACATGACCCGTCTTGTGCAAAATGCATCCTAATTATGCCATAATCATATCATCATAGTGTCACTGTGGCGAATATGGGGTGCAGTGTCACACCATCTGTGTCCCCCAAAATGGCATTTTTCATTTTCATCATGACAATGTTTTAGTGTGGTCTCCTATTTTGTTGGGATTTGTGTTCCAAGGCCTGTGAATACTCATCAGTCAAATGCCATCTGCGCCCCTGTATTACGAAAGATCAGAGGAAAAACCTTTTTTTTAAAGTAGTTAAGGACATTGAGGTCAGTGGTAATTGGGACAAAAAACAACATGGTTTTACAAAAGGTAGATCATGCCAAACCAACCTGATCTTCTTTGAGAAGGTAACAGATTTTTTAGACAAAGGAAACGCAGTGGATCCAGTTTACCTCGGTTTCAGTAAGGCATTTGATACGGTTCCACATGGGGAATTATTGGCTAAATTGGAAAAGATGGGGATCAGTATGAAAATTGAAAGGTGCATAAGGAACTGGTTAAATGGGAGATTACAGTGGGTCATACTGAAAGGTAAACTATCAGGCTGGTGGGAGGTTACTAGTGGAGTTCCTCAGGGATCGGTTTTGGGACCAATCTTATTTAATCTTTTTATTACTGACCTTGGCACAAAAAGTGGGAGTGTGTTAATATAGTTTGCGGATGACACAAAGCCAATACAGAGAAGGACCGGGATATCATACAAGAAGATCTGGATGACCTTGTAAACTGGAGTAATAGTAATAGGATGAAATTTAATAGTGAGAAGTGTAAGGTTATGCATTTAGGGATTAATTCCAAGAATTTTTGTTATAAGCTGGGGATGCATCAGTTGGAAGTAACAGAGGAGGAGAAGGACCTCGGAGTATTGGTTGATCACAGGATGACTATGAGCCGCCAATGAGATATGGTCGTGAAAAAAACTAATGTGGTCTTGGGATGCATCAGGTGAGGTATTTCCAGTAGAGATAAGGAGGTGTTAGTACCTTTATACAAGGCACTGGTGAGACCTCATCTGGAATACTGTGTGTAGTTCTGGTCTCCCATGTTTAAGAAGGATGAATTCAAACTGGAATGGGTACAGAGAAGGGCTACTAGGATGATCCGAGGAATGGAAAACCTGTCTTATGAAAGTATCGGGGGGTATTATGAAAGGAAACTCAAGATATCCTGTTTTATGAAAGGAAACTCAAAGAGCTTTGCTTGTTTAGCCTAACCAAAAGAAGGCTGAGGGGAGATATGATTGCTCTCTATAAATATATCAGAGGGATAAATACCAGAGAGGGAGAGGAATTATTTAAGCTCAGTACCAATGTGAACACAAGAACAAATGGATATAAACTGGCCATCAGGAAGTTTAGACTTGAAATTAGACTAAGGTTTCTAACTATGAGAGTGAAGTTCTGGAACAGCCTTCCAAGGGGAGCAGTGGGGGCAAAAGACATATCTGGCTTCAAGACTAAGCTTCATAAGTTTATGGAGAGGATGGTATGATGGGATAGCCTAATTTTGGCAATGAATTGATCTTTGATGATTAGTGGTAAATATGCCCAATGACCTGTGATAGACAAAGAATGACATTCTTTCCTGGTGTCTGGCTGGTGAGTCTTGCTCACATGCTCAGGGTTTAGCTGATCGCCATATTTGGGGTCGGGAAAGAATTTTCCTCCAGGGCAGATTGGAAGAGGCCTGGGGTTTTCTCGCCTTCCTCTGTAGCATGGGGCACGGGTCACTTGCTGGAGGATTCTCTGCACCTTGAAGTCTTTAAACCATGATTTGAGGACTTCAGTAGTTCAGACATAGGTGAGAGGTTTGTTATAGGAGTGGGTGGGTGAGATTCTGTGGCCTGCGTTGTGCAGGAGGTCAGACTAGGTGATCATAATGGTCCCTTCTGACCTTAAAGTCTATGATTAAAGTCTAAGTTGCCATTACCTCTGCCTGCCTCTTACCTCATTTGAATCCATCTGATAGACTGTATATGCCTCAGGGCATATACTGTCCCGGTGTCTCATACAAGGGGAAGCACTTACACAGGGCTTATGTAAACTGCGCCCACTCTGTGTGGTCTGGGCCACACAGCGAGATCAGTTAGCCAAGGGTGTAGCTGAATAGGTCGTGATTCTGAGCAAATGAATGTTTATGATGTAGTGATAATATATCATCACCTAAATAGTCCCACAGCGCTAGAAAGCCTTCGCTACCCATCTTGCAATTTGAGATTCCTGTAACTGTCGAAATTCACACACCGGAAGTCCCCACTTGTTTCCAGTGTGCCCAGTGCTGTAGCATTTAGGCTCCATGTGTCAGTTAGGAGGAGAATGTTAATATTCCAGAGGACTTTGTCCTTCTTCCCTGCTCCCTAACCCTGGTAACCGATTACTCTCAATGGCTGTCTTCCAAGAGGAATATTACCAGGACCTTATTGCTGTCCCAATACTAGGGGATGCCTGACTGAAGAAAGCAGTTGTCTTTGGGCCTTAACTGTTACTCGGCTTACCCTGATTTCTAGAGGTAGTCAATGCAGCAGCCAAGGGCCTTCCACCAAGAAGACTGTGTCCTCCCCTTTCTGAGGGTCATCCCATTGACTGTACAAAGACTGGAAGTCTGGTCTATGGCACTGTGGATAACAACAGTATCTGAGGGGATGTGACCTTGATACCAACTTGGCTTTATACCTGTGTGTGTGTGTGTGTGTCTCTTTCAGTTCAGAGGCCTGTTATCCATCCTCTTTCAAGTCCAAGTAATATGTTCTGTGTCACCAGCCTGGATCCAGATACCCTTCCAACTGTTGCTACACTCCTAATGGATGTCATGTTTTACTCCAATGGGTACGTTTATATCAGGGACAGGGGCACACAGCACCATCTGTGCAAGCATGGCCTGAGTGTGAACATACAAATATGCATCGCTCTCTTCAAGACTGGCAGGAATCCAGGGCTGGCGTTGTGCAATATAAAATGCATCATCTATAGTGTGGGCTTCTTGAGGGTTGCAGCCGTCGGTTGAGATTTTTCAAAGGCCCATGGGAGATTAGGATGCCCAATTCCCATTAATGGATGCCTGCTTCCTATTTAGGTGGCTTTAAACATTAAAACCAGCAGGACTAACTCATGCCATGAGCTTGTGTGGGCATATTGCAGTGTAACAATATTGCATTGCTGCCACCTATTAACACCTGGCAAGCTAGGCTTGAAAGGCATCAGATTTCTCTGCCAAAAAGCGGGCCCATTCCAGGAAAAGTTGGACCTAAAAATAGAACCCTTCTTCTCAAAATGCATCTGATAAAATTAGCACATGTTTGTGGCAGGATTTCCAATACCCCCCCTGACTGGTGTTAATTCTGTTTTGTTTTCTTTTCTTCAGAGTAAAAGACACGGTGGTGGGCAGTGAAGACTCTGGACACATTCGCTTTTTCTCATTCTCTCTCATTGAGGGTTACATCTCCTTGGTGATGGATGTACAGACACAGCAGAGGTGAGGCCCATGACTGACTTCAGCACAGGGCTCATCTGGACCCCAAAAGACCACAAGCAAAATTTTCAGAAGCACCTATGTGACTGAGGCTCCTAACTCCCATTTTCAAAAGTGGTGAAGGCACTTGGGAGCCTGAAAGTCTCACTGAAAGTCAGTGAGATTGAGGCTCTTAATTGCCGAAGTCACTTTTGAAAATGGGACTTAAGCTCTTAAGTCTCCTAGGTGCTTTGGAAAATGTTAGCCCATTGTTCACAGATTGAACCTGTGCAGACAAGAAAATCTCACGGAGTAGAATGCAGGCCGCTTTAAATGACACTGTCTTCTGACATCGCTTTCCCATGCAGTTAGTCAGTGCTGTGTCTCATTGTCATGGTAATGCACCACATCTTGCCAGAGCAGCAGCAGCTAATAACGCATTTGTCCAGCAAGCCCACAAGCTGACTTGAATAAAAATACTGTCCTGTAATATTTGTATTATTCTCCGTCTTCCAGTCCCAGATGAGAGCACACAACTCCTTAAAGGGCTGAGGGGCTAAAGGCTGCACCAGATGTTGTATCCAGAAGCAGTCTGAAGTGTTGATCATGACCTACGAGGCCGTATATGATCTTCGTCATGACTGTCTTAGGGCCTGATTCTGCGGGGTGCTAGTTGCCTCCTGGGGAAGCTTCTTCAGCCTCCATTGACTAAAAGCCGTCTGTGCCTGGCGGGATCGAGCTCTGAAAGGGAGGAAGGATAGCTAGGGCACCAACTTGCGATTCTGGGGACCTGGGTGCAATTCCCTCCTCTGCCACAGACCTTCTGTGTGACTGTGGACAAGTCACTTCATCGCTCTGTGTCTAAGTTCCCCATCTGTAAACTGGCAATAATAGCACTTCCCTACCTCTCCAGGCATTGTGAGGATATAGACGCCTCATGGGGGCCATCTAAATACCTAAGATAGATCAAGGGCAGCTTCTCTCTCCATGTGGTTCCATGTGTCAGCTAGGGCCCTTGAACTAACAGTCCCCAGATTTGAGTATTTGGAAGCAGAATTTTTTTCAGAAAGCCCCTTCTGTGACTCCTCCCACATTTCTCTCTCTCACTCACACATGGCTTTCCCAATTCAGTCATATTTACAACAGAAAGCCTGAAGCCAGCTTCATTTGCCTTGTTTTGCCACATCAGTTTTTTAATCCTGCTGCTCCTTGTCCATTTCAAGCTGGGCAGGGCTGTAGATAGGCTTGACAAAATTCCATATTTTTAAAATAATTTTGACAGGTAATATCAATGTTTATTTTTAAACATTTTTTTATTTGTATTGACTTAAATTTTCACAGATTGCACGCAGTTATGGGATTTAAGCATTTTTTTGTTTTGTTTTAAACTTTCACAGTTGCAAAAAGTGTCAGACAATAACTATTTAATGACAGTAGATGTTGAGGTTCAAAATGTTAAAAGCTTCATAATCTTTAAAACCCAAATTGTCAACATCATGTATCAAATAGTTTTATATCGGTTTGCATGTGTATGGTGAAATCGACATTTAGCAATAAAAGTTGAATCCTTCCAAGCCCAGTTATAGACCCGGAAGAGCCCTTCCATCATTTTGGTGCAAGGGGTGTTTAAGTTACTACTACAGTAAAAGCTCTTTATCTGACACTTCACCAACCGGAAAGCTCTATAAACCAGCCTTTCTGATCTTCACTGAAATACCGGTTTATAGTCCGGTTGGTGCAGGGCCAGCAGAGGGTTGGGGTGCAGGAGTGGATATTGAGTGCGGGCTGTGGGAGAGAGTTTTGGTGCAGGAGGGGATGCTGGTGCTGGATCTTGGAGCCGCTCACCTCTGGTAGCTCCCCGCAAGCAGCAACCTGTCCCGGCTGCTCCTAGCCGGAGGCACAGCAGGTGGCTCTGAGCTCTGCCCCCACCCGCTCTTCCCGAGCGCTAGCTCCGCAGCTCCCATTGGCTGGGAACCGCAGCCAATGGGAGCTGCGAGGGTGGTGTCTGCGGGCGGAGGCAGCATGCAGAGCCACCTGCCGCACCTCTGCTTAGGAGCAGCCAGGACAGGTCACCACTTACAGAGAGCTGCCCAAAGTGAGCACCCCCCCAGATCTGACCTCCCACACCCCAACCCGCTGCCCCACACTCCCTCCCTCCCTCACCCCAATCCCCTCCCTCTTAATTAACTGGCATTTTCACTTACCGGCACCTCCCTTTGCCCCAACATGCCAGATAAAACAGCTTTTACTGTACTTTTACTTACAGTCTTTCACCTTTTTTTTTTTTTATAGATTTCCTAATAATTTGTTGTTTACAAGTGCATCTGGAGAACTCTGGAAGATGGTTCGGATTGGCGGGCAGCCACTTGGCTTTGGTATGTAAACAGTCGGAGAATCGATTAAGTGCAAATATTGCCACTCACACGTAGACATGGAGGAGGAGGAGAGGAAACAATCGCGTTGGCTAAGCCTGTTTTTTAGAGAGTCTTCAGCCTCTTGTGGAGTTGAGAACAAGAGTCTGAAAACCAGTTCAGTTACAACTAAACCCAAGGATGAATGGTCTGATTTTCAAAAGGGCTGTGTATGCGGTATCTCTCATTGCCCCTCCGCCCTCTTCCCCCCCCCCCCCGTACCCCCGATCAGATTTAATTACTGGACTATGGCGTTAGCTACATTTAGGCCCCTGCTTTCAAAAATTTTGGCCCATGAGCTTTCATGTCCGTGTGAAACAGGAAAAGGCTAGGCTGGCTCAGTCCATTTTAGAAACCCGTCAGTGAGACCAGGAGACAGATATTACTCTGACTTCCATCAGCATAAATCCAGGGCAACTGCGTGGCTTCCGTGGATTTAGTACAAAGTCTTACAAGTTTGTGAGAGCAGAATTGTGGCCCTAAATTGTGGTCCTAAATTCCCTCATCCCATTGTGGTCCTAAATTCCCTCTTAGCTCATCCCATTTTAAAATCAACATGGCTTTTACACAGTGAATCTGGCAGAAACCACGTGGAGAAAGTGCCCAAGCTTTTCAGAAGTGACCTGTCACTTTGGGTGAGTTGTCTAACTTGAGACCTTTTAAAGGGGCCTGCCTTTCAGAAAATGCTGAGCACCCGCCCTTTAAAAACCTTGGTCCTTTAAAAATGTCTCAAGTTGGGCACCCAGAGATGGAGGCACCCAAGATCACTAGTCACTTTTGAAAATTTTGGCCATTTGTTTAAATAACTGGCTTTTGGTGGTGGTAATGTCAGCTTAGAGCAAGTGTTCTTGGAGCTTAGGATCAAGTAAGAAGAGTCTCTCTGAGCTACTGGAAGTTAGCTTTGATGCAGCAGAGGCTTATCCTAGGATTTCAAGTGAGTAAGGTGCCCGGGCCACTAGGTCAGCATGAACACCAGTCACTGTGGCAGATCCAGGGTTCATGTGAGTAAGGCTAAGAGATGTCCAGCATTTAGTCCTTCTCAGATGCAGGTCAGATGGTGTATTATCTGCCGCTAATGAGGGAAGGAGGAACACAGAGGGAAGGGCCCATGAGGGAGCTTTGGAGGCTTCCTGCCTGAATCTCATTCGTGGTTTCTCATTAGACCCCTGAAAATACTTCTGAGTATTAGTGTTTTGTGCATACGTTTTTGGGATTTATATTGATCCAGTAGGAAAAAGAGGAGGTGTGGCAAATAACGCAGAATGTTGTTCCTGATTATTGGGCCTGATCCTGCAGCGCTTGCTCCCAAGAACAGTCCCATTTTCTACATGAGCTGAACAGGAGCATTTGAGCACAGGTGAACCCAATTCTGCAACCCTACTCAGCTCTGATTCCACACAGGAAGAAACCGGTTGGCTGAGATTGTGCTGTAGGTGTTTGTCAGATAGGCAATCACTCCGTAGGGCAGAAGAGACGGGTTCCAAGTTCCAATGTCCTTTTTGATCTAGTTTTGTTACCTTCCACTGACCTCAAACCAAACATTCCTAAACCACTTCTGGCCTTTGGACCAAGGACTGGGGACAGGAGCTTTAGCGATGATGGTTATGGGTGGTTAAAGTGTTGACATGCCAAAATATTTCCTGGGCAAACCTCAGCCGTTCGCGACGCAAAGCGATGCCTGCAGTACAAGCTGTCGGGAAAGGGCAGACTTTGCTAATGATAGACTAGCGTGTGATTCACAGCAGCCCCAACTGGTAAAGAGAGAGGATGAGAATTAGCACTCAAAAGTGGTTGGGTGCTCAGGCTTTCCCTTACTGAAAGGCTGGAGTCCCAGCTCCATTTACCATTTCTTGGAATGGCAGCTGGATACCAGGTGCTTCACTGTGTCTGTGGATCTGTCTATACTGAAGTCCTGGTGGGGGGCTGCAGCTAAGGCAGACGCACCTGAGCTACCTTTAATCTAACTAGCTCAGGTCCTGGAGCAGTGACACCCTGGCAGTGCATGGTTCAGTGTGGGCCATCCCTGCTAGCCACGGCTTCACTTCTCGATTCAAGCTAGCTCCGGTGCGTCTGCTTGAGCTGCAGTCGCACCCTAGGATTGCAATTTAGACACACTGGCGGCCCTGGGTCAGTCAAAGGGCCTTGGCAGAGGAGACTAGGTATGTGCTGGGGCTGCTGTGTCACTCCCATTCTTATTCGTGCTACAAGAAGGTCACTGCCTTTTACTAGTGGGACGTGTGTCCTCTTGGAGCCCAGTTTATTTTCTCTTGCTTCAAGCATCTGCCGTCTCATTTGAGTTGTTAAACAGACCATAAATACTCCTCCAGGGGCGTGCTTTGTGCTATTGTGTGTGTTTGGGGGAGGAAAGAGCCTGCACATTGAAGCAAAGGGTATTTGTTTTTTTGCACATGCACAAAAACAAAAATACCCCACAACTACCTGATCAGGTCACTAATTACGAAGTTACAGGGAGGTCACTTGGAGAATAAAATCGGAAGGGAAATAGCATGTAAGAAATGATAAAACAGCCTAATCAATGGAAATGGATAGAATGACAGAAGCAAAGGGCCATTACAATAAAGAGACACCAACGTTCCTGCTTCAGCACAGTTGTCAAGCCGTTGTCTGGAGTGCTGCGGGCCTGCAGAGAGGTGACTGTTCACATGGGTCTGTGTCCTTCTCACTCCACCTGTTGAGTCTCATTAAAAGGAGCTGAAAAGAGGTTAAATACTTCCCTGATGTCACTTTTGCATGTAAGCAATTGTTGTAGATGCCACAGGTATGTTACATGATCACCAATGTGAATGGGCAATAGCCAGTGGGCAGGGAAGTCACGGCTGGATGATAGCCCATGGGCAGGGCAGGTATCCATAAGACAGCTTCTATATATTAAAGTGTGTTCCATGCTAAAAAGCTCCCTGCCTTTAACATGAGGAGTTGGTCATTCATTTTTCAGAGCTTGTCCCGTTAGCAGGGAGATACCCCTTCAGTATTAACATGGTATTTTGAATCGGCACAATATGTCCACAGTGTAATTCAGCAGCTGTCTGAATCCAGATTAAGTGAAAATACACAAAAGACAGTGGAATGAAATAGCCATGTTAGCGCAGACTCTTAACCCAGATTCCTACAGGAAACCCTGGGATTCAAAGGCCAAGCAGTTGTAATTAAGCAGCTGTTTAGGGAATTGTGTATAGCTGTTGCATAATCCTCGGTATTTCTAATTCCTTTTCTCACTTTTAATCACCCTCAGGCCGTAGCACTGGAAGGACTGCAAAAGTGAGGGGACCAAGCAACCAAACTGGGCCAAATTTGAGTGGCATTGCGACCTCGCACATGGGGTTGCAACGCCACTCACTCCCATTTGGCCTGCCGCTGCTCTTGTCATGCCACCCCCCCTCCAGAGCCAAGAAGTGAGCTTGGGCCCCCATTTCTCTCCCCCCTCGTTGCCCTTCTGGCAAGTTCAGGTTCTCAAAAGTTGGGGGGGCATGGCCCTTTGCTCCCCCCACCCCTGTGTCCCGCACCTATGCCCCAGGCTTACTGCTGGTGGGTTTCTCAGTTTTTTTGGCATCATGACAGGAGCTAGTTAGACCTATGAGTGCTTTCCCATGGCGGAGCTCTGTTGGAAACATTATTTTTGTTCTTTGTCTTCCCCTAGATGAATGTGGAATTGTTGCTCAGATTTCTGAGCCTTTGGCTGCCTCCGACATCCCAGCCTACTACATCAGTACTTTTAAGTTCGATCACGCATTGGTAAGTATCTGAATAGCTCAGAGGTGTGAGGAGGAGGGCAGAGCTAGTCCTTTTTCCCCCCATGAGAAAACAATCCTTGGCATTTCTCTTTACGACTGCTTGTTAAAGTGACTTGGGCCTGAGGTAGCCAAGTGCAGAGGGGCCAGAAACCTCTCTCGTCTGCTTGAGCGTGATCTTCCTGATGATTTTCATCTGCTGCTAAGTGACCATTTAATTCAAGTCCGTGCCAGAGGGGTGGGAGTGTGTGTGGAGGACTGAGGGGTGCCTCATCGCTAGTCAACTTTCACCCTTCCGCCCTGCTGCACCCCTGTCTCTAAGACTTGGCTACCATGGCTGGTCAGCCAGGCACATCAGCAGCTTGTGGTCTGTCCACTGTCTGAGCCTGGCTGGGGCTGATGGGATACTGCTGAGATGGCTCATTCCAGGGTAAGGGGGAGGGAAGCCCAAGCTTATGTCCTGCGTATGCTGGCATAGTGCAGCCCCGCCAGCTGTGATTTTCTTTGTCTTGCTTATTGTGCGTGTGTCTTATTGCTTAGTCCACTCTTGAGACGGTCTCCTGCCACTGGAATCCTTTCCATCCACACTCTAACGCAAACCAATGGCCTTTGCCCTTCAGTACATTGCAATGGTGGCTATAAGGCTGTGTAAACTGGGGCGGTGGGGGTTGTAGCTCCTAGTCATCCCTTCTGTTCTTGGAAAATCGTGTTCCACGATACTACTACCGCCATCATGATTTACAGAAATCCTAGAGCTGTGGCTTCAGCAAGTGCCGCAGCAGGGACGGAGTTTCAGGGGAAGTGACGTTACCCCTCTCAGTCTTTGCCCATTCTTAGACAGAAACATTGTCTAAAGCTCTGAAGTGTTCGAATGCCTATTTTTGGTTTGTTCTGCTTTTCATGCATCTTTTTGCTTCCAGGTTTCAGCTAGGTCTGGCCCCAAAATACTTCCAGAGAGCGTGATTTCATTGCAGTCCCAGCTCAGTTGTGCAGGCCTCTAAGGAACTTTATCTAAGCATCTGAACTTGCTAATGCCTATCCCAGCTGAATTTGTACTCCCTGGCTTGGGCCCCAATTCTTGCGAATCATTATTGCTTATGTGAGCAGCCACTTTCAAGTCATTAAGACCATTCCCTTGGGCCCCAATCCAGCAAAGCATGTTCTTCACCTTAAGCCTGTGAGTAGGCCCATGGAAGCCAATGAGCAAAGTTTTGCAGTCGTTCTGGCACCACTCACATGGCGCGATTAAGGAGTTTATGGGTAGCCCCGACAACCTATGCATGACAAGAATCAGGACACGCTCCTTTCGCCATTGCAATGTTTTATAGGGCAGGTGGCGTATTCTGGTTTGACCAGTATCTTTATCTCCCTTCTAACAAGATGAAAAGGTGAGACTGTTGCCACCTTACTGCTTCTTCATAAGAACATGTGTTGGTTACCAATACGTCAAGTCAGCCATGTTTTGGGGGAATTTCCCATGAGAACCAGTGGCCTCGCCTCTGTTTAGATTAGGGACACTCTGCTCTGTATGCCCAGTGTTAGCCCAGATACACTGACCTAAGTGGGGAAGATTTAATTTCCATCTGTATTTTTGCAAATCCGTGTAGAAAAAGCTGCCACCTTAGGCCAGTGCAGAAAGAGCCGAAAGCTCCATTTCTCAGCTCCCTGGCTGTCCTGGGCCACATGACCTGCCACCTTAAAGGCTAGATTTGAAAACCCACCTCTGGTTTGGTTTCTGTTTGAAACTGTGCAAACGGTGGGGAGGGACTGGGTTGGATTTTCCAGAAAACATGCACACTGTTGTGTGACTGCATGCACAGTTACTACAGTTGCATGCACAACTGCACCTGTTTACAAGTGTAATCACCACACTTGTTTGAATAATGCTGCACCTGCAGGATGCAGCCAGGATGGAGTTTGGCTTGGATCGGTTCCTCAGCAGGACAGCAAATCAGCAGTCCATGTGATAATCTCAGCTAAGATAAATCTGTGACTGGGGTTTTTTTTTTTAATTCTGTCCTTTATTGTTTGCATTACAGTTCCCATTACATCACCAGACACTTATTATACTGCCCTGACTTTTGACCTGTAAAAGCTCAAAGAGCAGATTCAGGGTTTTTTTTAAAAAACTAATTACTTCAGCCTTTCACAGTTGACACAACCCATTTACAGCCCATAGGCCGTATGTGCACAGAGTCAAAGTAAACATGGTTCCAGATAGCAAAGGTCAAATTGTTGTATACATTTGGCTTATTTTCTTGAACATTAACTATACTGATAAGATAAGCCAATAAAACACCATTTCAAAAGTCAATACTGTTAGCTTTGTGCCACATTCCTGGTTGTCATTGTGGGTCCAGGTGCATGCTTTCTGTACCTGGCAAAAGATGCCGAGTGCTTCTGGTTGCAAAGGCAGCTATTTCTTCAAGACCTTTTAAATTATACATTTTACTACCGGCGTATACCTGCTGCTCATTTGCAGCCATGCAATTGCAGTAATTCTGCCAGCAATTTCCTCATCTAAAAGTCTCTCTCCACTTGCTCCCTCAAACACCTTTATCCTTTCTGCCTTCTTGGCCGGGATTAATTCAGCTATTTAACCTCCCCACCCAGGGAAGTTTACTGATCACTCATGCTGTCCAGCAGAAATCAGTGTACTTGCATTTTCCTTGCAACATTTTCTTTCACAACGTTGTCCAGAGCCCCTTTCCAACCAAAGAAAATTGTTCCATTTGGCCTCTCAAAACTCTCTGCCAAGCTGCATCATCGCAAGTTAGCCCTTACTGCACCAGAGGAAAGCTTGCTAAATTGACTCAACTCCAGAGGGTTGGGCATCCAGCACTGAGTCGCCTGGCTTGAGATGGCCTTTGATTGGCAAGGCCTCACCTTGATTCCTGGCGCCGCTTCTCTAGCTTGAACTCCACCCTTGGATAGGGTGCAGGGCTGCAGGGCCTTTGAGGCCTCTGCAATGGCTTTTGAGCGCTCTGTTGTTTTGGACAGCTCTTCTAGACACACATCCGCTCCAATCGGCTTCAGGGATTCTTCAGTCCCAAGGAGAGATCCCTCTCTAAAGGCTTGCCAAAATATTTGGTATTCTCCTCAAGAGTACATCTCATCCTTAGACCGTTCTTTTTAGTTGGTAGGGTCTGCCAGAGCTATTAAGATGAAATAGGGGAAAAAAGCAGCTAATTCCTTCCATCCCTTTCCTCCTCTTCCTGATGTATGAAACAACAGAGAGGACTGTCAGATCCTCTAAAGGAGCAGCTGCTGTGGGGGGTAGCTTACCTCTGGAGAAGGGTGAATAATCTCCCCTCTCCACCTGCTGAAGGCTGAAAAGGTCTTTAGCAGTGGTTACCCCATGTTCTGAGTTGCTTTGAAGCTTGTCTGTGTTAGTAAAGCTCTGAGTTTGTTCCTTGGAAGAAAGCCTTTCTCTATAAGGGGGAGATTTTGGACCCCACTCTCCATTATGTCGACAACCCTCCTGGCCAGGCACTGCTGCGTGTAGATGTTTCTCAAGGATTAAATTTGCATCTTGTGTCCCCTCCCAACTGCCCCCCTCCTCCCTCCACAGTCTCTTGGTCTCTGTGCACCTGGCAGAAATGAGAACGTTTTATAACAGCAGGTGGTTCCTTGTTCGGCCTTGTTTTTCTCCCCCACGTACCATAGTGGGAAAAAACTTGGTCATTTGAATTGTTAATACGTGGCTGAATGTCTGTGAATAGATATTAATAGAAAATCAACTCGTATCTCTTCCCATTAGCTGTAGGATCTGACATGACTGGCCCTCTTAGCCCTTCCAGTCCCTGGAATTAAAGAGCCTGAGGAAAAAATTACACTGGGAAGGGGTGACGAAGCTTAAAAGTGCTCTCTAAGACCTGGCATGTAAGGGGTTACAAGTAGATCCTAAGTGCCCTGCCTATCCCTTTGATGATTAGGGTGGGGTTATGAAAGCCAAAGAAGCACCTGCTGCAGGGCAGCTGCTAGAAGAAAGGACGTATCCTCTACCCTCCCCACCTGCTGACAGTTGTTACCAGGTGTTGTAAATTGCTTTGCTCTTGTTTTGAAGCTGCTCCGTGGTGTTAAAGCCTCGAACAGTCCTATAGCTGGGGCTTTATTTTGCCTTCCCTAGCCGGTATCTCTACCTACAGTTGGGCTTGTTACAACTATAAAACTTGTTCAGGCAAATGAAGCTCTTGCAGGCCAGGTGAGAGGTTCAAAAGGCTACACCAATGGAAACCTGGATGTCCATGGGGGCAGCCTGTTCAAACTGGGACTCTTTGTATTCCTGGCCAGTAGAAAAATTTAGCCTGTCTCTTCAGTTGATGATTGGCATAGCTTCAGTGGACTTCTTCATTTTTAAGCCAAGAGATGGACAAAATGCATGTCCTCAAAGCCCCTTGGCCAAAATTGGGGCTGCTTTTGTCGTCTTGTGATTCTGCCTTTACACAGAAAACCTCCTGATGTGAATTTTACTTACAACAAACCTTGGGGAATTCATTGTTCGTTTTTTTGCCTCTGACCATTAGCCTGGAAACGATCTATTTGCATTTTCATAACAATGAAGCGCTTTCTTGAAGGAGGTGTAAAGGAAAACATCCAAGATCTTGCCGGTGACCCACTTAGGGTTAAACTAAGGGCATGTCTTCACTGCAGTTGCTGCTGTTATGGCAGCTTGGGTATGTCTATGAAGGCAATTGCCCCTGTGATTGCTGTGCAGACATACCTCGAATCAGTGGGATTGGGCGAGAAAATCTGCAGGATGGCGTTTTCAAAGGTGCCAAGGGAGTTGGGCACTCAGCTCCCATTGGTTTTCGTGCATTTCATGAAATACAGATCTCTCACCCTGCTGATATTTGAGCAGTGGTCACAAACTAACCTGAAACAGTAGAATCAACACTTTTGCTGTATCTTAAATTAACCGTGGTGAAACAGGAACTCATCTTATTTCTGTGCAAGGACAGTGAGACCCTTCCATAACAGGGTATTGACCTGGATGTACACTTCGCTTCCAGAACAAAGGAAAAAGCTTTAGTTACAAACATGGGGCAGAGGTATTAGAGCATCCAGTGTCAACAGGAGAAATAAACGGTCCTGAGCTAGAGCAAAATGGCGCAGTGCCCTTCCAAGACTAGACAACACATCCAACCATTACAAGGGGCAGCATAAAGAGGAGGGAAGAGGTTTTGAGTTAGGATTTAAAATGACAGGTGCTCTTTTTTAAAAAAGAGGGAAAAACCCTGATGGAAGGGAAGGGAGTTGGGAGAACAGCATTAAGTGTCAGCGTGCAAATTTAAACCAAGGACACAGATGGATGGAAAGCGGAGAGCATGAAAATGGTGAAGGAAAGCCAAACCATTAGCCATGCTGCATGGTTCTGGGCTGATTTAAAGAGGATTTTGGAAGAGCAGCATAGAAAACATTGCAGAAATCGAGGTGTCCTTTTGTTGTAACCAAAGGAAGAAACTCACCTCACCATGAGTAGGGGAGTAGCATTTCCTTGAAAAGATATAGGGGAAAGCCAGAAAGTTTCAAAAGATTATAGCAGTTTTCTCATCCTTCCCCACTCCCCCCTCTTTTAGCCACTAATTTCATTGCAACATAATTCCAGTCCCGCTCTCCATAGCTCTAAACAAGCAGTGCAAGGCCCACTCTGGCCATTATCCTCCAGTTCTAGACAGGATATTTAATATTTCACTAGTTCCCCTCCTAAAAATATACTGTGAAGGCCTCAAAGATACATGTACTGCTCACCAAAGCTCCCAGCTGTTCTTATACGTTACCCTCATTTGCTCTTCCCTCTAGGGTTTGCCATTTCTCATTTCCTCATGTGTTGGCTAGGGCCCAATCCTATAAGACACCCTGTGCAACTTCACCGGGCTCCCCATGGGTTTACAGATCAGTCAGCACCGGACTGGGCCTTTAGAGCGCAAACACTTTGAAACAGGGACGTTGTCTCTTTCCATGCCTGTAAAGCCCCATGTCTCTCTGTGGTGAGAGATAAGCAATAAATACTCTGTGAAGGCCCTCTCGGAAATTTACCCACATTTGTCTCCTTCCCCTTTCCAGCTCTTCTGTGAAAGTTGCATCATTAACTGCCTGAAGTGAAGCATCATAGACCATGATGGTGCTGATGGACTACAGGCCCCTTTGGCCAGATGTGGTGTAGGAACATTGACAGAGTTGTCAGCTGCATTCCCGTTAGGGGGCAGTCACTCTCTCTTTTCTTTCTCTCTCCCATTCCTCTGCACTGACTGGTGCTATCAGCATCTGCTCCTCCATCTGGCAGTGCCAAGAAGCATGTGGTGAGAAGGAGAGTTGTCTGCAGCTGCCAGTGGGGTCACTGTTAATTGCCCAGAGGAAGTGCTTTTAAAAAAACAGAGCGGCCAACGCACTCTTCTCCTTCCCAGTTGACTGCGTCCCTGCCTGGAAAGACTCAGAAGGGGATGTGAGGGCAACCAATCTGGAACCTAAGAAAAACCGAGTTACTTCTTTACCTGGGACTTCCTCAGCCCCAGTACAATGTGCAACCCCGCTACCTACTGCCGAGTCATTTGTGGGCAGTGTTGAGAGCCAGCTATCCCATGCGACCAGGCTGTAACACATAGGACAAGGCAGTTTGTTACTAAGACCAGTAAAAACCAGACTAAGAATGTAAGATGGAAACATCTGTTTTGTGTTAACTGTGGAGCTCAAGTATCGTGCCCAAAGTAAATATGTTCCCCGTGGTTCATGTTAGCTTTGTGTGCTGTCTGTCCTAACTAGCCTCTCTCTCCACAGGCGCGATTCAGTGGCTTTTACTGGAAACATTCCCTCTCTTTGGTTTTCCACAGGTACCCGAAGAAAATATAAATGGTGTCATCAACGCACTCCAAGTCAGTCAAGCTGAAAAACATTAGAAATCTTCTGAGCTGGTTGCAGATGCTTTTTTATTATTATTCTTTTTCTCACAGTATTTCTTGAAAAATCTGATTCCGGAGAGAGAGATTGAGGTGCCATGAAAAAAGACTGTGAACCGATGAGCAGAAGCAACTCCAACAAGCTTTTTTTCTTTCTGTCTTAAAAGTGGGAGGGCGGGGAGTTGTTATGATGGTTTCCTGACATTAGACTCCAAAGCAAACTGCTTTCCTGCTTTTTTGGTGTGAAAGGAATTGCAGGTAGACAGGCAGCCTCTCGCTGAAATGCAGAGGTATAGACAGATTGCATACACAGTAGCTTTAGGGAGAGCTTCAAAACAACACCTGAAAGGGAAGAGCTGCTCTTTTAGCAGAGAGCATGAAAAGCATAAATGAAAGAAATGTGGAATTAAAAGGAAAACAAAACATTGAACTGTATTGATCTTTCCACTAGCATCAGACTATATAAAAATGGTAACAATCCCTTATGATCTATGTTCAGATTGGGTACTATTTTCCTTCACAATTCAGTGTTGTGAGAGGGTGGGAAATAAAATATTTTTTTCTTCTGCAATTCAGAATTGGCTGCACAGAGAACATTGCAGCATGGTTCTTTATTAAGGGCTGTCTTCTGCCGGTCTGTACTTTGGGGGCCTCTGTGTGCTGTTGAAGTTATGTATATTAGCTCCATTTTCCACAGTCCCCCAACATCCTCTTACGACAACATTGTGTCTAGGCATCCTTCCAAGCCCAAGAAAGTTTGCCATTCTCTGATGTCCATTATCTCATGCCATTCCTTCCCTTTTCCCCGATTCCCAAGCTCTTAACATGTAGGGATTGAGGATGGTTGTAAAGAGGCCCACTTGCGTAACCAGCCTAGTAGATGCAGGTGATGTACACTCAAATCCACTCCCTTCCATTCCTACTGAGACACTTTCGCTCCCCTGATGCTGTTCTGCCACATCTCTATTCACAAGGGTAAGGAAGCATCCGAAAGTCCCGAGCTCATGGCTTCCTCAAATGAGAACTCCTCCTGGACGCAACATTGGTTTTATCAGTGTAGCTCAGGGCTCTGTTGCCTTTCTGCACCCATTCATGTCCTTCTGCGGCCAAGGCTCTTGGTGAACGCGTTGCCATCCAGTAAAACGGTTGGCCAAGAGCGCTGTGCTTTTGCAGGGGATGTTGATACCTGTGCCCTTGGGGTCCTATTTATTTCACCTGCTACTTAATTTCTTTGGTGAAATGTGGTTCTGGTTTGGCTGTGAAGCTAGGAGTGGGAGTCTTTTCATTGACTCGGTCTCTTTGCTAACTACAAAGCCCCGAGGGCCTGCTCCAAAGCCACTGAGTGCTACAGAAATGTGCTGAAACTCTGACCTGGTTCCTTATCCCTGTATTACCAGTTCTTTTAGAGGAAAGTGATGTTGGTCTTTAATAGACAGCCCTACAGCCTGCAGTCCTGCCAGGAGCTGCTTACATTTTGACATCCCCTTGCAAAAGAAGCAATGAGCCAGTGGGAACGAAACTCAGTAGCCCAACGTTTTACCTGGTGCCATGCATCTTGTTCAGCCCACTTCAGAACTGCCCCACGGTCAAGACAGGGGTCAATCTGATGGTGAGTATAGAGCGGGGAGGGCAAACATCGCATGGGAGTCTGCAATGAATGCACCTGAAATGCCATACGTCAGCAGCAACCCGCTCTCTGGTGAGACACAGGATCTGTGAAGAAGAAGGCCACATTGAGATCTTGTTTCATAGGTGGGAAACTCTAAGGTGCCACAAGTACTCCTTTTCTTTTTGAATTTCCCTTGCACCTTTTAACCTGTTTTACCTCTTCCCCCCACGCTTTTTTTTTTTAAATTAAGAAATCGTGGATCCTGTAGCTTTTGTGAGGATTTACAATCCCAGTGTAACTTCAGAGAGAACCACCTACACAGACCTGTATCTTGCAGATTTTCTCCAGGCATCTGTTCCCAACCAGTACATATGATATATTCATACGTGTGTGTATGTGTTTATGGTACAGACACAGATACAGACACGCTGTTTACAATGTCCTTCAGATTACGCAAGTATTAAGAGCCTGATATTTGGTTTATCAGAAAACACCCTCTAGCCCTGATGTTGCAGGGCCCACAAAGTTAATGGAGGATCCTTTTTGGGGGATTTTTTCAATCAATCTGTTAAACAGTTAAGGAAACTAGAGCATCTTTAGGCAATAACATGGATCTCTTTCCTTTTTCCCTAATTCAGTCCACCATCGTTAAGTGCTTCACTTTAAACACCTGCTTACTTTCCATTGACTTAAGCCTATGTTCAATGTTAAGCACGTACTTAAGTGCTTCACTGAACTGGGGCCTTAAAAAGAACATTTTGCTTTCCCTTTAGGCAGCTTTTCAACTGCCCCATGGAGAACTATAGTAACTCTAGACTTTGGGGGTTAATGCTAATTACAGATACGACACCCTGTGTCTCTGGATATTTGCTCGAAAAGCTGCTTTCCTCATGCTCTTTTGCAGCATATACACAGACATCTTGTGTAGTGTGATCTTTTTAAAAAAAAAAAATCCCACCTACTGAAGGACTAAAATTGGTATACAAAACTGTTCTTTGCCTAAAGAGTACTTATGTCAAACCACAAGTCCCAACTGAAGTCTGGCTGAGCTGTTGGAAGGTTATGGGGGTTTGTTTTGTTGCTTTTCACAGTACAGACACTATAGGGTTTTCCCCCATTGGGACAGTGAATGTGTCCCTTTGTGGGACTATGGTTTTATTTAGCGATGCACAGACTCCTTGAATGAGATCAAAACTGCCATGTACAACTTGTCATTCAAGGTCTTTGAGCAGTAGAGCTGCAGACTTTTTTGCAATGTTGTGGGGCTAGAAAATTTTGCTTATCAAGGATGTTAGCTATCGGAAAACTATTATTAATTAGTTTACACACTGGAGAACAATTACATGTGTTACCCTCTCCATGTGATATTTCTGCTTCCTTAGGACGAAGACGTTTATCTGAGGGGATTACTTGAAATGAGCAGCAACTTTACTGAGCCTTAACAGAAACAGGAAAATAATGATCTTGTTATAATTGTTATTTACACTGTGCACTCAGGCTAGTCTAGATGACAATATTTTTTTTTCCGAGGGAGTGGACCTTAAGTTTATGATGATTACGGATGTCTCTGGTGTGCTTTAGAACTCTCTTCACAAGGCAGATCGATATGCTGTCATAAAAACATTAGCCTTGAAAAGTCACGTGGTGTGGTATGACATTGAGTGATTCAGTATCTCTAAAGTGGCCATAGGATTTGCTGTTTTTTCCCCTCTCTTTTTGTCTTCGTAACCACAGAAAACCTAGATTATTTTGGACAACTGTCTGGATAATTTGATGTGGTAGCTAAGGAGTCTTTGAAGAGCCAGTGCAATAGGCAAGTTGTACCCTGATGATGAGAACTAAGCTGTAATTTCCAGCTCGGGGAATCAGAGCTGTGCTAACTCTGATCAAGTTAATATGCTAAAATTAGCCGTGTAGCCAAGGTGGGGCAAGTGACAGGACGGGCTTGCCGCCAGAGTATGTATCTAGAATTTCAAACGGGATCTTACTCAAGGCAGCTAGCCTTTCCACTGTTTCTGCAGCTTCACTGATCTTTGTAGCATGCTAGCTTGACCAGAGCTAAAGTGGATATGTCAATCCACGCTGGAAACAACACCTCCAGCACCAGTGTAGACATATCCTAAGAAACTAGTAAAACAACCAGGTTTGGTGCCAGGATGGGGCGTTGAACACCTGAGAACTAGTGCAAGATGTGAATGGGATCTTCATGGTTTCAGCATCTGTCATTGGCTTGGACCAGTACCTCAGACCCAAATTTGGGGAGAGTTCAGATTGGGATCCTGCTCTGGCCCATGTCTAGCTGGTATAAGGGCTGTGCGTTGCTTGTATGTTACAGCAGCTATTAACTCTGCAGGCTATGCTTGCTGGGTGGGGTGGCGACAGGAGGGGAAATCCCCTAAAACAACATGTCAAACCTTTGTTTAAAACAACCCAACGACTTCACAATACCCTTTCTTTTAGCACTGGAGGAAATCCAAGTGGATGTACCTTCCTCGCAGTGCTGACCCCAAACTACACAGCTTACTCCACTGCTGTGAGCTTTGGAGCCTTGCTGCTACCCTTTTCCCTCCAGCATTGCAGCACTTCTCTGCAAGGGGCAGAGCAAGGAAATCCAAGACACTCTGAACATGCTCAGGATGAGTGGAGTCGCAGCAGTAGGGTAAGGAAAGGAATCCTTTCCTAGGCATGATCTGGATTGCCACATCCATTTGGCCCTGCTGCCGCCCCAGCAGTCTTTAGCACCTGATTTTGTGCAAAAAATAGATATTTTCAAGGGTTGGGTTTTGTTTTTTATTTAAAGCCTTGTAACAGTTGTGTCTCTGTAAGGATTGGTGGAATTGCACTACTCCTTAAACATTACATATATGAGGGAAGAGTGGGAGATAAGTGTGTAAGAGTGATTCTGTATTCCTTCAGGCATTCTGCATAAATAAAACCATGGCTCTGCCTTCAACCCACCAGGGCTGAACCTAACTGCGTGAGGCTCTCTCTGACCCTTGTGTTGTGGAGTTTTATTCAGCGGTGGTTGCTGATCCAGCTGGATTTTTGAAGCTTACATTAACTGCATGGAATCCTCTTCACTTTCTCCCCTCCTGCCCCCATCTTCATTGCGTTGCACAAAAACTCAACAACCACCAAAAGGTTTATGCGCATCTGTTTCTAAAAGGGAGCAAGGGAAAAGCAGTTCTCAGTCTCCTTCCTTATTTCCCTGAGGCCTTTGTTTTCTTAGAAATATAAACCTCTGATGCGTGTTACTATGTAGCAATGACTAATTTTTGTCTTTTTCTATTGATTTCAGCTGCAGATCCCTTTTTGCTGTGCGAGTGCGGGTGTGTACGGTCCTATAAATGTAGCGTGTTTACAGAGAAATACTAGTATGTATCTATTGTACACATATATAAATACCTGTGTTTTCTGTTTTATGGCTATATACTGTACATGGCATATATACTTGAGCAATATAGGTTAATATATACTATGTGAATGTGTGTATATTCTAGATACACACTTAGCGTGTGTATATGTAATAAGTACTGTTTACACACATATATTCACCATATATTTTTAATTCAAGTATATAGGCAATGTGACTATTTAGATATGGTGGCTGGATTTCTCAAACCTTTTTAAAAAAGGAGAAGCAGCTAATGAAGCACTGGCTTTTTTCTGTTAATGAAGCACTGTTGCCAGTAGGCAGAGACCTTTAAAGATGTCCAGAGCAAAGTAGCTGCAGGCTGATCTTGGTTTTGTCAGTTACAGAAACACTCCTTTCCTTTTTAGTTTGCTGCCTTGGATAGAACGCGGTCTACAAAAGATGGTGTGGTCTGTTTGTTTGTTTTAACTGCATTGTTTTGCTGCATTGAACTGCTTTAACGAGTAAATAGTGAACGTTGGGTTTCAAAGTGCCTGTTCAGACCCCAAAGTCCATTTGGCACAGAATAGGGCGTCCACGCAATTGTGTGAACAAGTGCAGAACTGGGATCTTGATTTTATTTTATCTTTTGGAGTTCATACGCAATTTTTGTTTAAAGCAACCGAGCAGCTTTCTAACTTCAGCCTGTAGGAGGAGCACAGTCTGGACAGCTGTGAATGAAAACTTGTGGAAAACCTGCTGCCCTTTGAGCCCGTGTTGACTAAAAAGTCAGCTAGTTCAGTGTGAAATTCTCACAGCTCTCCCTGTGCGAGTGCACATGTGTTTCTTTGTTGGTGCTTGGGATTTTCTAACTGGATTTTATTATGAAGGGTTTTAGCTTTTTAGAAATAGGCAATTTTGGAGAGATCTGGCTGCTGCTGATTTAATGGCAAAAAAACAAGCTGCTGTTAATGCAGGTGTTGCTATTTATTAGAACCTTAGTATTTATTGCCTTGATTGGCAGTTTAAATCAATGCATAGTTTTATAACAGGTCGAAGTGGGGGGAGGGTTTTTTAAAAATAAGAATGAAAAATCTTGATGTGGTATTTGAAAGTTTGTTGTTCTTGCATCTCATAATCAGAATCTCCTGACTCCCTGGAGTGGTGTTTGTAAGAACCCAGATGGGAAAGGTACTTCACCAAAAACATCAACTAGTTTTGTTTTCTTGCTTCTGTAAGCAGATCCTGTCTAAACCACTTTAAGCTTCCAACTTTTGTCTTCCCCATAAGTGCATAATTGGACATCCTTTTAGAGGTTTGGATGCTTTTTGCATTCCTTAAGAAACAGGTTTGGTTTTTGAATAATTCGGGATTGTTATGGGATTATCTCCTCTTTTCCTTCCTGTGGAGAGGTTTAGTTCAAGTCTCCTATTTTGTATGGGACTTTGAGGTTGTGGAATCTGTGGTAGGTCTTGTTAGAATTAGGATCATCTTAATGGAAATGTGGTTTCAAGAGAGTGATCCTCAAGCAGCTATTTCCAGTGTATCTATTTTTTTTTTAATTATATTTTAGTTTCCCTCCCAGTTTAGTCTGACTATTCTCAGGGACAGCCAGAGAATGTTGTTGAACAGAGATGAATTGGGCCTGCTCTGTAACAAAAAACGTGCTGATGTCAGACCCTGCCAAGGGGATGCAAGTGAAGTCTAGCAGTAATTTACTCTCCCGTACAAAACACACCAGGCTCTTCGAGGCACATTATAGAAGAGAAGTGTTACTGGAAGTGAGGATCCCTGGAGCCAGTGAAACCATCCTGGAGTAATTAATCAGGTTCAGTTTATCTGGAATCTTAGGTTTTATTTTCTTGGCTCTTGAAGGAACATAAGGGTGTCAAGTACGGCAGCCGAAGCACGCTGTCTCTGCAGCATGCTTTTGCTAGATAGTAACTTGGAGAGTAACCACGAACCTGGGCTTTCCTTCTGAAGACACATTAGAAGGGAGGGAAAGGAGGGCAGAGAACACGCAGCATAGTAAAAAAGCTCAATTTGGAGAAGACAATAAATCTGTCCTATACATTCAAATGCTTTTGACTCCTATAGTCTAATATTTTGTGAGATGATTACCCAAGTATTCCCATGCCCACAAAGTCTCTCAAGTGGGCCTCTTCCATTGAGTCACTTGGGGTCAGATTTTGATACTGTAAGATGGTCACATTATCTTTACTCCACAAATCGTATTAATCATGGTGGATTTGATTTAAAGCAAATTGATTTAAATCACTAGTCAGGAAGACTCGATTTAATCATGGTTTTCTACATAAAAGTGCATTCTTGTTGGTTGTTGTAACCCTAATACATATTCTCCACAACTCAGAGATAGATGTAGTTTTCATTTTTAGAAGGTACACGCTATACATTTTTAAACAGTGATTTATTTTGAAAACTTTTCAGATTAGTTTTACAACTATATCAGAAAACAAATGATTGTTTGGTTATTTCATTTACCAAAGGTAATTGAAGCAGATATTTATGAAGTCATTGGGAGGTGAACTATCTCCAATTCAACAGGTTAATCATTAATATTTGGAGGATTTTCTTGCCAGGCTGTATTAGGAGGAGAACATCACCAGACAGACATTTAAATGGTTTTATTTAACTAAAACAACAAAGTTAAGTATTCTGGATTTTTTTCTTCAACAGCAAACATATAATATTTTAACAAAACAAGCGTATGTCCCTCGCTTCTCACATTTATCTCCAGACTTCTTCTCCTTGTCCAGATCTATTCCGTCCCCAACAAGCTTCTATTCATTGAACTTTTTGAAACTTTGCACCTTTAGAGAGAGGTACGGAATTGACTCTGTGTACACAAATTTGCAGAGGGACAATAGAGTTGAGGTCTATTATTTTTCACCTCTGTATATTATTTATTTATTTTAAAAAATTTTGCTGTTAACAAGCATGTTACCTCTGGAGACACAAATCCACAGTTTGAACACTGAAAAACTAAGCATCTCTGATGATATCCTCTAGACTGAGCACTGAGTCCCATTGGGTAAATAGAAAGATTAATCTAAATAATCTATACAGAAGCCCCTGGAACTCGATAAGATTGGGTCCCTAATCCATGAACTATTGGAACTCATTTACAGAACTTTTCTTAAACATTACGTGAATATATTGTCTCACACTATAAAATTAGAAGTTATAATCCTTATTCCATGATGAGATATCTTTGAGCTATAAGGTATCTTAATTAAAACTATCTTTAGATAGGCTTTTTCCTCAAAAAGCATTTTACCAAAAAAAATCCGATTTAAATAAAAAAAAATCATATATTTTTTTTTAAATCATTGATTTTTATCCACCCTGGTATTAATGATTGAGTCATCCCATTGAAGCCACAGAAACTGTTTGTGGAGTAAAGTGCTAATCAGCGTGAGTTATCAGCATCTTGCCCTGAAAAATGTACCATTTTTGTCGTCTTAGATCTTCCATAATACACTGACATTTTTTGCTCTTACAGATGTAGTTGACCTTGAGGAGCCAGATCTTCAGCTGATGTTAGTTGATAGAGCATCATTGACTTCAGTGTAGACATGGCAACTTACGCCAGCCTGGGGGCCTGTCCTGTGATCTTTCTAGTCCTTTTGGAATCCTCACATCAGTGGCAGTAGTTTCACACGCAGGTCCTGGCCCCACATTCTCCCCAGGATAAATCAGAAGTGAATGCAACTGCTGATATAAACCCATTGCAGGTGAGATCAGAATTGGGCCCTTCACTCAATAACCAGAATTAAAGCATGTATTGGATGGTTTTAGGTCAGGCAGTGTGTGCGGGGGGGAATCCCTGTGGGTGATAAATGGTGTCAAGGATTTGTTTCTGACTCTGTAAGGCAGGTGACAGATCTGGGCATCAGGGTTTTGCTTCTGTCTGTGCAGGGCAGGTGAGGGCTCCTGGCAGGATGTGAGGCATTATTGAGGAGCAAACGTGGAAGATTGGTCCCTGTTGCAAGTGAGGGTGTCTCAGAGTTTGCAACATGGAGAGGTGAGGTGAGATGCAAAACCGAACGATGCAAAATAAATAATTTTTGTTTTTATTAATCTTGCAAAAAGAACAAATTCGTCTTTGGTTTAGTCACGAATCGAAGCTGAATTGCATTCTTTTTTAAGACAACTTTTTTTTCCCCAGCCCAGTGGAGACCTCAGTCAGAATCAGGTTGTTTTGTCTCACAGAGCTGGCCTTGAGGAGAGGGTATTAGCGCACCCAAAAGTGGAAATATTCAGTGAATCTTTCTAATGTTGCAACCTCTTTCCCAGGAAAAGCCTCAGAGCATCTCTGAGGTAAGATCTGGGTCACAAACTCCGGTGCCTGCACAGAGCTTATTGCAGGATCAGGGCCTTAGTTAATAGCGTTACCTCACTAGTCTTCTGACCAAAGTAGAGTGGAGGGTTGGCACACTAGTTTAGGTTATGGGACTTGAGTGGGAGGAGAGAGAGCTCCCTCAGATTGATTTGTTTTCTATCTGGTTGTCCCCACTCTCTTTATCATGTGGGGTATTTTTTTGTGGGACGACCCCATCCCTCCTGCCTATGCCTTGTATCTTCCTGAAAAGCAGAACCTTAAAAACAGAGTGAAGAAAGCAGATTTGTGGCAAGTAACATCTCATGCCCTGTAGGCCGTGGTTTCAAGAGCGCCTCATTCAACAGCTTAGCAATGTTACCAGGATGATGGAAAATATATGTGGGGGAGAGGGGTGTTAGCTAGCCACTGGAGTGATTGTGTGGGAGATAATAGACCAGACAAGTCTGAACTTCAGCAGCTGGCTCACAAGCAAAAATGTCTCCTAGAAGAATTCATTAAAGGACAAGAAGTAATTTTCTGGTGGAGCTTATTTTTTTTATTCTTAACAACAGTAAGCAGTTTAACGCATCTCACTTAGCTGTTATAGTGCAGTCTATAAACGTTGGAACGGATTAAACTTTTATTACCTGCCAGATTGTAAAATCCAGTACTTCTTTTGCCAGATACCATTGTGTGTGCGTGTGTATATTTGCATGCATATGTACTGGCTGAGATTTATAAAGTTACCTAAGAAATATGGATGCCCACTTCCCATCTATGCATGCCTGTATGCCTCTATAATGTGTCCATTGTAGAGACATATCTATGTGCGTGAATTAATAGAAATCGAGCATACAGATCCCTTCGATGGCTTTGCACTTCTCAGCCAGTATGTAAACGCTACATGCACATGCATATGTGCAGTAGATTCTTTCCATTATTCAGTCCTGTATTCCTGTGGGCCAATGGTAAACTAAGAATCTAGTGGTTTTAAATGATTTTACTCTTTCCCATCCACCTTTCCCCCTTACCCCCAGCCCCATCTAATTATCTTAGTTTAAACCAATAAATGTGTGTGCAGTTTGTATGTTAATAGCCTTATGTTGGCCCCACTAGACTGTGTGCCAATAGAACTGGCCATTTCCCTGTATCCAGAAAGATGATGACGGGCTCTGATCCCATGCCACTGAAGTCCATGGGAATTTTGCCACTGAGTTGGATGGCTCCCTAAGCTAGAACTGAGTTGCTGCTTGCCGGTAGTGATGGGAGAACCGAGCTGAAACCACAGAGTGTGAGCTGACGAGAGGGCTGGGGCCAAAAGGAGGCAGCAGTGGCTTTGCCAGCAACAGGAGAGAATTGTACGACAGGAGCCAGAAAACACTTCGCGAAGGGGGGAGGAAGAGAGCATGCTTTTGCTCTTCTCTTCGTACATGAAAAACTAACTCTTTTACTTTAACAAGCATCAAAACAAAAGCCCATAGACTCTGCAGAGGGAACATTGGCCAGGCATGGCCATAAATCTCAGAGAAAACACTCAAGCCAAGATGCAGTGAAACTGGCTCATCTCGGCCCCCACCCTCTTAGAGATGCAGTTCACCCCATGCAGAGGGTCATCTCAAGGCTACATAGCACTTCTGATCCACTTTAAGTGACACCCAGCAATGGACTGGTCCTAGACAAAGGGGCGAATGTCACCCTCAGTTTTCACGTGGGCTGCGGTGGCCTTAGCAGGTTGGTTTTGTTCTGTCTCTCTGGTTTTGGTCTGAGTTTGTCTTTGGTCCACTTGATATGTTTTTTTACCTGCCCTGAGCTCTGGGTGTAAAATCAAGGTATGGCTGAGTTTTGTACAGCTGCAAGCAGGTTGCCACTGCTTACATAGTAATACCTTAAACTTAACAGTTACTATAGTATCTGCTGAAGGAGTTTGATTGGTGGCAAATGCTCAGGACCAGGTAAAGAGCCATGGTTGTGCATAAGCATTTCTAGCTAGAACTCACCATCTTCTTTCACTAGCTACTCAAAACCCCCATCATATGCCACTAGGGCAATATCACAAAAATGGGTTCATTCATTTGTTTCCAGTTGCTGCATGTTATTGATCAGTGAAAGGCAATGTTTATGCAGTAGGGTTTTTTTCAGCTTTCCAGTGGGATGTTGTGGGTTTGGTACCAGCCTTCATCAATTACAATAATAGCTAAATAATAATAATTCTTACCAGTTTTTTTCTAATCTGAAAATGAACTAATGCCAAGCTCCTAGTTCTCTTAGCCTTCAAGGGGAATGCCACTGTGCTAAAAAGAGAAACCTCCACCATTTTCCCCAGTCTGATTTTTATAGAGATATAACTGTTCTGAACACCAATGTTCTTTAAGGCCCCAATCCAGCAAAGCCTGTTTGCAAGCCTATTTCCATGCTTAAAACTATGCACATGCTTAAGAGTGGATGCTGGATTGCAGGGAAATAGGGGGGCATTTGAATTGAGTGCATCACGTGAATATGTACCACCTCTAAAATGAACCCAGTCTCTAAACCTCATACATGTTCTTTTCACATGATCTGAAAGTGGGGTAAGTGATTTCCCCTCTCTTTGGCCAATACAAGCGTTTAGGGGCATTTAACTGCTAGAAAATTCTTAATTCAGGCACTGGCTTGACAGTGGGCTTCTAGCTTTGTTTCTCCTCTATGCTTCTCAGCTTGTTGTTACAGCCATGTCAGCGATGGGTCAGGCTAGCTGGTGCTTGTATGGTACGTGTCAGTGACTGATGAGTCAGGCTAGCTGAAATTAATCCCAGCTGTGAACAGTTGGGGGGAACTCTGTCTCAGTGGGTCCCTATGACCTATATGCAGGGGGTCAGGAGGGTGCACGTTTTGGAAGTCAGCCATCAAAAGGCTGAAGTCGGTGTAATTATACCAGATGTGGCCTGGTATCTTTGGTTTTTTGCATTTCCTGTGATGTAGCACAGGGGAGCCAAAGAGGGGCAATTTATGGGGACCACGCTTCCCAAAATGCAGGGGTTCTGGTTTTAATCCCAAAGCAGAAGGCCACTCAGACCAAGCTGGGTCTGATAGTCTCCATAGGCTACGGTGACCGTTAAAGATTAGGGTCAGATGTTGTCTTCTCCTTTTTAGGCAGATTAGGCTGATGCTCTTGGCAAATTGTCAGTATAGCCCTTGCGTAGGCAAAGCTGGGGCATCAGTTATCTGATACCTTGCACTATACACTCCTGACAATGCTGAGACTCAAAACATAGTATTAAATGCAAGATTTGGTGACAGGACAGTTCCCCTTTGCAGTAGCCACAAGATCCCTCTGTGTAAGAGCTGATCTCTTTCGACCTGCAATATCTAAAACAGTGTTGCCAAGCTCTCCTAATACTGGGTGGGTTTTGTTCTTAAAGCCCTGGCTGTATTCATGTGAATACATGAGAATCTCAGCTTCCATTTTTTTAAAAATAAGTTTTACCAGTCTTGGTTGGGCAGAAAAGCTTGTCAAGGTGACCTGAGTCCACCCAAAAAGCTCTGAAACCAGAAGGCAAAGAAAAAGAACCCCAAATTTATCATTTTTAAAAAAATTCTGACATTCCAGACTCATGATTTTTGAACGTGTGAGGTTGGCAATACTGCTAAAACAAAAATCCTTATGTAAAAAGCTTCCCCCTCCTCTCCACCACCTCCCGTATACGTCTGGAAAAGCAGAGAGCTTTACCCTTCAGCAAGACTAGGATGTGTGTTAGAAGAGAGAGATCCTGAAGCGAAACCCATCGTCTGGAGCACACACAGGTGTGCCAGAGCTGTTCTAGACCGTTCCTTGGTTAACCTGCAGCACTATGCTTCTATTTAGCTAGTCTTGTCTTGAAGAAATAATTGAATTTTGAATGTCTCTTTTCTGCCAGCTGTTCTCCATGTTTTCCTTTTGTGTTTTTGTGCGTGTGTGGTGCCATTTCACATATGCCGAGGTGAAATCCAGTCAGTCAGTATTCAGGGACATCTCATTGGCAGATGTGTTTGCTTGTTTGTAGGTTAAAAAAGACAGTTCTGCAATAGAAACTTCCAGTTTTTCCTTGTATGTTGGGAATGGGTAACGTCTGCTTTGAGGTGAAGGCCTAGGCTTTACTTCTGTTGTGCATTTCATTTTAAAAAAATAACTTCCCCTCCCTCAATATCATCACCACCACCACCGCATCCCTCCACGGTTGCTCATTCTCAAATCGGCAGGTTTTGGTGACTAAAGAACGTTCTGTCGCAGCAGCACTGGGCTGACCATTAGAACTCCAAGGGCCCGATTCTCATTTACACCAAAGTCACTTTACGCCATTCTGGCAATGTCAAGGGAAATTCAAATGGGTGCTGGCTACATTCACGCCCACTTTAAAGCCTCGTAGCCCTGCCAGAGCAATGAAAAAAGGGGCCTTCGTATCAACGAAAATGAGACCCCAAGGCTCTTTGCTATTCCCATCTTCCTCTGGGTTTCTATTTGCTCTGACTTTGTAAACGTATACTGTAGCGTCGGGGGCAGGAGAATACATTTATTGGTTTTGAGGTGGGGGTTGTTTTTTAAAACTTCTCTGGGGGGATAAGAATGTCCATTTTCCCATTGTTTTTGATGGCCTCTTCGAGTGCAATTCTGAAAATATTTCCCACTGCAAAGGCAATCCTCGTTTGTCAGCAGATTTCCTATAGGCGTGGGAAAACCCACTGCTAATATTAATAACAACATAGGTCTTAATCCTGCAATTGATGGTAGGTGACCGCTGCTATCAGTTACAGGATCTGTGGCCTTAAGCTGCAGTTCAAGAGCAGAATGCTGACCGCCCCTGCTCCACTTTTGAAGTCAGTAGCAAAATTCCCATTGACTTCGGTGGGACCAGGACCCAGCCCTCTGTCCCATTGACTGTCTCTCTTCATTCATAACCCCCTGTGCTTTACCTGTAGTAACTGATGTTCACTGCGGTCATTAGAGGCACTGAGGAAGGACTGGGGACTTGTTTCATCACATGCCAGATACTGTGCTGGGCTTAGAGTCGGAGTCTGGGAAGGGGTAGTCCTAGAGGCTGATAGTTTGTTGGCGCTGGCTCTAATTCTGCAGCGTTTCCTTCCAGTGCAAACTCCTTTCTACGTTATTTTTTAGGAGGTCAACCAAAACTAGGCCCTCGAACCCACAAGGCTGGTGTCAGACTGTAATGACAGTGTTCCCATTGAGTGAATGGGCCATGCCTCTTCAGTGTTCTCTAACACTACCCTTGGAGGTCATGTATTTAATGCACCGGCTCTCAGAGCCAGATGCTGTAAACCTTTACTTGTGTGAGTAGTTAACCTTGATGGCTCCAGTAGGAATATGGAGGGCCAGTCCCGAGGTCCTTGGTGGGCCTAGGCCTGGTAGATGGAATTTTGAACTTTGGGGGGGGGGGGGCCCTGAAATCCTGTTTCTAAGTCTGAGGCAAAGAAACCTGAGAGCAGGGCTTTGTGGAGCGGGCTGTATGTCAGATTTTCCCAACATCGGTGTTACTTTGCTTCAAACAGCTCGACCCTAGGCTGCACCTTGAGAACTTTCATTTGGATGGGCTATTTTAATGGAATGACCATGCCAATTCTTAGCTGAGCATTTTGGGACAGACACTGGTGTAGAACTTGAGAGAACCCCCTTGCAGTCAGACCCCCTTGTAAACTCTATTGCATTTAGCAGAGTTACTCCAGATTTACCCTAGTGTAACTCACATCAGAATCTGGCCCTTTCCCTAGGGCATTTCGCTGTTAATGGCCATTTTATTCCTGTTGTGACTTACTTGAACAGGGCATTGATTACTCTTTTTCTTGAATTAAAAAATCCAGCCCTGGTCCAAATTACTGCTAAGCAGACTGAAGCAGACCATAGTTAGGAGGCTGTTGTGTGGCTCAGGTTTTCTGGCAAATAACCAGATCAGAGAAATTCTCATTCCTAAGCCTTGCCAACCCTAGGACCTATGGCCGGTCACCCTTCCCACCTTGTGCTTCATTCAGCCGAGTTGGAAAATTGGGATAAACACCACTGAAATCTCCAGAGACTCCTTGAACACAATGCATCTGAGCTGAACTTTCCTGTATAACTTAATCACCAGTATGATACGTTCAAGCCCTAAATGGCATCTGAATTTTTGGCAAACATTCCTGGTGCTGAAAGCAAAATTGTTGCTGTTATCGTACAGTGGGGTGTGGGGGACTGGGGGTGTGAAAAGAAACATTTGGTAACACGGCCTTGTTTATTTCCATTGTGTTCTGTCTTTGCTGGTGTCTTGCAGAAACGGGAATTTACAAAGCCGTTCCTTAATTGGAACCATCTTTTTTTTTTTTTAATTGGGATAAGTGATGTGATGGAGACTTTTCTTTAAAAAAAAAAAAAATGCTCCAGAAAGCAGCTGACTGAAGGGGCAGTTCACCCCTATTCGAGGGACTGGTGCAACACTTGTGTTCCCTAAGACTTTAATCCTGCACAGACTGACACACACATGCATGTTGAGTGACTCAGCTGAAGCCAGTGGGGCGGTTTGCAGCATGCAGAATTATGTCCATGTACCAGTCTTTGCTAGGTTGAGGTGGAAAGGCTTCAGTGAGATTTAAATGGTTGACAGCCTTTGTGCCAACCCTCTGCACAGAGGTGAATTTCACCCGGTCGCGTTGCAACAGCAGCGAAGGGTGTTGTTCTTGTATGAAGCGTGGAGCTGGAAGATGGATGGTTTTGCTTTACACAGAGAGTGCACATGCTTATTTTACTTGCTGGTCTTTTGCTGAAACTCGAGATTTATTGTACTGTATGGAAAAGAAGAAAAAACCCTCATGATCCAAAACAAATGACAGTATATTTTGTACTCTGTAAAGTGTTAATTAAAATGGAAAAAAAAAAAAGCGCGAAACATACGCTGTCTGCTTTTGTACTGATCAAACTGATTAAAATAAAGCAGAGCTTGGCATTGTCTTTATAAGATGTAACTCTCTTTTGTTAAGCCTTTTCTAAAAGGCAACGAATGCCAGGGAAAGAAAAGTCTGTCCTAGGTTTTATCCCAGTATTCAGCTGCTTGCATCAAATGGTGACCAGGCAGCTAAAATCCTGAACATCCTGTTGACCCTTGTATTCACACCAAGCTCCAATGAATTATATGGGCCTCCCAACAGTTGCGAGGGCCTGTTCATGTAGATCCGATTGTAGGGTCAGGGTTTAGGTGGTAGCAGGCACCAGAAGGCCCCTGGCCAAATCCAGCTCAGATGGGTATCGGTACGACTCTGCTGAACGCCTGGAGGGCAGTTCCAACTCTGAAATCAAGCCTTCTGTCAGGACGCCGTGTGTGCAGGGAGAGATGCCAGCGTTCTTGGTGGTACCATCCTCCAGGTGCACTGGTGATGCAGGGCTCACTCAGCTGGAAGGTAAGCGATTGCACTCCCATTGCACTCTTTGAAAGCAGGAGCCAGTAAGCCTAGCGCCATCTCTTATGGGGAGTGGGGGGTGAAGAGGGGGACTGCAGAACTGTCTCCAACTATTGCATTATACAAGTGTCACTAGCACCTTTTGGACCATTGTTATTAATTATTATTATTATTAAGTGCTGGCAAACGTTCCCTTGTTCTGACAGGTATCTCCCAGGCTGTGGGAGCTATGGGTGTGTGTTTGCCTACGCAGTCACTGCCCTCTCTGCACTGAAGTCTGTGCTTTGGGAAGAAGGGTGCCACACAAACCCGAATCTGAGCTAAACTTGTCACTCTGGCGCCGTGGAAGATCTCCACCCAACTGGACCCAGGCCCATGTAGATAGGCGTTTGTGGAGGTCTGGGTAAGGGGAGTTGAAGCCAGTGCTTTACCATCCAAAGATCCAAATGACACTGATCTTCTGCCTCATTCCCTTGACTTAGGACCCCAGCTCGATGTGCTGCAGACTCCCTTAGGCTAGCTCTCCTCACAGCAGTGCGCAGGCCAGTAGTTCTCCACGCAATTTTGAAGTACACAGCTGCGGTCTCTGCCAAGGGATGAAATCCAGCATGGACACGTCACCACGTCATGGTGGACTCGTCAACCCTACGCCACGGCTGGCTGCATTTGCTGTGGTCATTGGCAGGCTGTGCATTGCCCTGATCCCGTCATGGCCTGTGTTATCCCTTTGGAGATTTGAAGACTGGAAGATGGAGTTGAGTACTGTTCCCAGGTAAGCAACTGCCTTCGTTGTTCAGGAAAACAATCGTGCTTTCCAGTGTGTAGTGCTGCGCTTTAGGATAATCTTTCTCGCTCAGCAAGCCAGGAAATCCCCCATTACCATTTACTGTTCTCAGCAAGGGTGAAGTTTTGAGGGGGCTGGAGGTTCTGGTTGAAATTCACAGGAAATGCAACTCCCCTGTCTCTGTCCTGCAGCATGCTGTACAATTGGGCATTAAGGAGCAGAGGTGCATTTGGTCCCCACTGAATAAACAGCGAAGCATTTGTACATGGATCCTTAACGTGACGCTTGGCCTTAGTCATTTAGTGCATTTAAAACTGACAACAAAACCGTTCAGTGAGGCGCCATGGCACGAGTGACCTGGTAACGTGAGCCCAGCCGCCTGCCCTTGCCATGCCATCTTTTAACTTCGGGCCTGACCCTGCCTCGCTGAAGTGAATGGGAGTCAGACGGGACCCTTAAGGTCAACGTTTTCAAAGTTCCTGAGGTGATGTCCACGCTAGCAATGCTTCACTGGCACAGGAAGGCCAGGATACGATCCCAGCGAAGTGCTCCAGTGTGGATGCAGCTATGCAGGCTAAGCTGCTCTGGGTGCTGGTGTAGGAAACCCTCCTCCCCCCACCCCCAGGAGCAAAACAAGCTTTACTAGCAGCTTTCCCAGTGCAGCTGCCTCTCCGCTGCAGGCTTCAGCTGGCACAGCTGTGTCGGCCAGGGATCGTGGGTTGTTGCTCCTAAAGCTGAAGGCCAGATTTTGCCCTTTGGAAGATCCCATAGTGTATGTGTGACTTTTCTGAAGATGTGTGTGCAACGTAAGAGTCGTGCGAGCTACTTGATCTGCTGCTGCCTTTCATGTCACCACGGCTGTCAGTGGAGGAGGTTCCTATCTGCACATTTTGACACTTAGGCCAAACGTGATCTTTTTTTTCCCTCAGTGCATGCTTAGCATTTATGTATTTCTTTTCTTTCGCCTTCAGCCATAGAAGTGGCTGTTTTCCCACTGGCCATGTTAACTGTGAACCGTGTTGTCTGACAGATCGTCTACACTGGAGTGGAATGTCAGGATCCCAGCATTGTCTTCTCCTGAAGAGCATCACTCAGTGGAGGGGAACATCGAAAACATAAGAAGTGTGGGAAAGAGGCATCTCCCCTGGAAACCTTGTCCCTCCATTCAAGGTAGAGATGACTTGAAAAGAGACATGGGGTAAAATTTTCAAGTGTACCTCTAAGTCTCATTGACTTTCAATAGGGCAGAGGGCTGGTCTACGTGGGGAAAAGCCTGGAGTAGCTAGTGCTGATTAGCTAGTGCACCCTAACCTGCACACAGGCACTCTTGGGGCAGGGTAAGAGTGTTCACATGGGGAGTTCGTGTGCTTTAATTTACACCCTAGCTATCTCTGCACTAGCTTCCCCGTGTAGACAAGCTGGGAAGCTCTTACATCGTATAGGAACTTTTGAAAAGGTTACCCATGCAACCAACTGCCCTCTAGCAGCTAAATATCCAAGTAGGTCCAAAAGCTTTATTGGCTGCAAGAGACCTGGAGGCATCCCTCTCTGCTTGCACAGATAGCTAGCATGAGCTATAACCTTGCAGAGCTCTTTCTGCCGCTCCTGGAACCAGACTAGGGAAATAGCAAAATTAATTCCCCATCTAAACACCCTGGTCCTAAAAGCAGCTCACCATTTTTGTTTTGAGTCATTAAATTGTTCTCCTCATATCCACAGTGAGACTTTAAGGCAGACCATAAAATATTTTGCACCAAATTCAGAAGGACCTTGCAGCGGTCACACTATGTTGTACAGGATGGAGACACAGGAATTTCACTCAGATCTTCATGGTCCTAAAAGCACAGGTCATCACTACGTGAGCTAATGGAGAATCTTCATTAACTGCTGGCAGTATAGAGCCTACGAAACATGCTTGAGTAGTTCTGAGTCCCTTTAGTAGAAGACAGTGATGCAGTCTCATAACCGGTTATATTTAAATAAGCACAGATGGTAGGATTTGGTCTGAAATGTATCCACTTGAACAAAAATTACAGATCCCTCAATAAAATAAGAATTGATTTGTTTGTCAGGTCTAAAGCTCTTCCGGTCAGGGACCATAGCGTCTCCTGTGTTTGCAGAGTGCCTAACAGAATGAGGCTCTGGGTGCTACCTCAATACAAATAATAAGAAATGTATTTGCTAAGAAGAGGCTTGGGGAAAGAGTCCAAACTAACAAATCAGGCCTGATCTACTGTATTTTAGGACTTCAATGACTGGTAGAAACTCCTAGTTTTGTTGCAGCTTAGTTCGAGCACTCTGCAGTATGTTTATAAAAATAAGAGGATGGGAAGTCAAACCAAAGCAGGTCTATTTTTGAGGTCTTCAAGTTCTAGTTCTCAGAATCATTTGGATCAATGGGGAGGCAAGATATAGTTGGTCTGAGTGTTGACCGTGCCTAAAATAATCCTGGCTTTACAGGATGTAATATATTTCATTTACAGTGACATGGTTTATTAACGCACTCCGGACCATATTTTGCCCTCCGACAGCCCCACTATGAGGTCAGGGATATTACCTGAATCTAGCTAAGGGTGGAGCATGAGCCGTCCCAGTAGGATTTGCAGGTATGGAAGTGCAGAAATGAATAGCTGGAGCGGAGCACAAATGAAATAGTCTTCCCGCCTGGGTAGCAGTCATTTTAATAACAATCCTGCAGCTGACGTTACTCGGTTCCCATGCCCCAGCTGATTCGCCATGGGCTGCGTGAGTCAAGGAGACTAAATTCCCCTCACCCTCAGAGATCGGCCATGTGCTGTACAGTATCTGTTGTAGGAATAGCTGAAGGACTTGAGCTTATAGGGCTATCAGCCCATTGTCTTACCCAAGGATTAAACTCAGCTGCGCGGACCCTGGGGTAGCACAAGCCAGGATTTGGATTTTCAAAACCAACTGATATCTTTGGGCTCTTCAAGTTGTTGGTACAGTGTAGTATTAATGATTAATAACTGTATCACTGGACAATCCAGATTGGGGCCCCGTTGTGCTCGGAGCTGTACACGCACGGGGGGACTGTGTTTCCTGCCCTGAAGAGTTTTCACTCTATTTTCAGCCAAAGCTGATAGCACAGTGGTATTTGTAAGGCAAATGACTCGTGCTAATCAATGCGAATCAAGT